GTGGAAAAAGCAGTTAAGGATGGCAACTGTCAGAAGAGGAGACAGTATAAAATCTAATTAAGAAAAAACACAGAACAACAAAAGTGACTAAAGAGGCAGTTAAGTAGAGGTACTGAAGATGTGGAATGCTTCAAGACACATAAAATCAACCTTTGAAAAGATGAAAAAGGCAAAGCTGCACATCTGATAGGAATACAGTAAGACGTAGAGATGAGTGGGGGACATGACTATTGCAGAAGTGTATAGAGGATTTCGTATACCTTTACTGTCATATAAATAGTCTCTCATGTACATAAAGTTCTAAGAGAATGCCATTATTTTTTCTGCAATTTACGGGCATTATTCCAGAGAGGAATGCATGCAGGGAGAGAAAGAACATTAGTCAAGCCAGTGAATACTGAAGGAGAAAAAGTAATCAGTTTAGAACCAAGAGAATTCTGAGAAACAAACTTGGAATGGTGAAGGAGAGGATAATATGTATTTTAAATCTAGAGAACAAAACTTTGTGTTACACAGCTGCCACATGTATCATTTATTAAATACTGAAATGCTAACATATTTAGGAGAATGCTAGAGCAACAGCTCTCAGAACTGTTGCTAGAATCTATGACATGCAGATAAATGGTTCAGTAAAATAAGAGAAGAAATGAGAGGCATAAGGAAAGAAAGTGAGATTGCATTATGTTCCTGGAACATCTTCCCATATGACAAGTGGGATATGAAAATGGTAGACAGTGGATAAACCAATTTAGGTAAGATATATAAAGGAAGTCTGGAAATTTTATAGCACAAATCCTACCAGAAGGAAGTGAGGAATGCTGCATGGTGGATATCTTCCTCTGAGTGAAACCTCTTTTTGATATGAGCTGATCAGTCGTTTTAGGAGAGCATCAGAGTAGTGATGGAGTGCTCACACTAAAGCAATGAAGTGCAGAGAGAATACAAGACAATCACTTTCTTTTTTTTCTTGATCACAATTTATTACCTTCTATACTTCTCCGAAAATGCCAAAAACACTGGCTATCAACAAGATGTACTTATTATGAACAAGGGGAATTGTCTTTCATAAAGAACATAGGCATTGATACATATTACAGACAGATGGAGTATCAGAAATCCACTGGCTCCATGATTGTATCATACTAACTATGTAACTACTTTGTTTTAATTAGAAGTTCTTATTAACCTAACGAATAAGAATTATTTTGTTCACATTCTATGTAGAAATAGTGATAATGACAAAAACATATGTATCTAATTTTGACATCAAATATGTTATACAACTGTAATAAGCATTTGATAGCAAAATGATATAAACTCTAGGTTTATGATTTTGTCTAACTTGTCTCATTTGCAAGGAGACCAGTCAAAGTGGTATAGGAGCTTTTTTCAAAGGGTACAAGACATATTTCATATGGAGTGATACACAGAATGATTCCTGTCAGTGGAGACTTTGGACTACATAACCAGCTCCAGAGCTCTTGGGACAAAATATACACACATACAGGTACAAGAGGTAAATGGCAGTGATAACTCACAATGCTGGTACAGTTGAATCTACTGAAGTTTCTAGATGTTTTAAAATTTATTTTGTTTAAATGCCACAAATACTTTAAAATATGTTACGGATTTTTACAGTATTATACAGTGTGATTACAGTATTAATACTAAACAGAATTATATTATTTGTTCTTTCATCTCATCTACATAAATTTTCATAGCCATCTTGCTTTGAAACACAGAATCACAGAATCACAGAATGGTAGGGGTTGGAAGGGAACTCTGTGGGTCATCTAGTCCAACCCTCCTGCCGAAGCAGGGTCACCTACAGCAGGCTGCACAGGACCTTGGAATGGTGAAGGAACAGTGCTTCTAGTTTTCTGGACAGTTATTAATTATCTCCCCGTTTCCAAAATTTATTCCTCTTTACAAACATTAATGATAATTTTTACCCAAATGAGCACTTCGCTTTAAAGTAACTGAAAACTAAGCAGCTACTTAACTGTGAAATCAGCTAGTGAGAAATTTTATGTTCACCATTTACATCATTAAAGGAGAGATTTTGAAATTATGTTTTTTCTGCATGGAAATGAATAGTTATAAAGCATTAGAGTCTCAAGCTGTATTAGAACTCATTTTTCAAGTACCTTTATTAATGATTTATGCCATGGAAATCTTCATTCTTGCCTCTGTGACCTTCTTCACAGAAGAAGAATTTCAAATTGTGGATGATTTTCTCCAGGTAACAGTTTGGATCTGTATGCTAACTTTCCTCCCTCAGAATATTTTTCTTTTTCATAGTTTGGTTCATTATACATTATTCCCAGGCTTATAATATTTTTATAAACAAATGCATATTGTAGAGAAGTACAGAGAAGATATTATTCCTTCTGAATACCTATTATCCTTAACAGCCCCCTTTTAATTACTTCAAAAATTTTTTACTTTCTTTAAGCTTTCTCAGAAAAGAACATTGTTAGAGAACAGCATGTTCATGAATATACTCAGTAATCTTTTTTTCCAGCATGGAGATGATTTAGTTGTTCACTAAGATCATAGGCTAGCTGAGGTTCCACGTATTATTACTTAATGAAGAGCACTTTAGGATCAAAATCTCAGCATCTTCTGTCTGCAGCTTTCAAAACTGCTTACGTTTTTGATGCTTTTGAACTTTATGGAAACTTACTGGAACTTACATTTCAAACCCATGCTGGCACTTTTGAAAACACGTTCCATGATCATGAAGTTAATGGGATTTAACCTGGCATATTAATTTTTCAATATAATTACAATCTTTTCTTCATAAGTAATCCAAGCAGGCAGAAGAAACATCCAGCTCGCTTAAAAGCAGGGAAGTTGAATTCTACCAGTAAGTCTGCCACTAATTCACTCAGTGACTTAGAATGGTTACTCAAGCTAGCAGTTTTAAAAGCCAAGAGCTAAACTAAGGTAGTAAAAAAAACATCAAGGAAAGATTTGCATTGACTGTAGGAGGCTCTGAATCAGTTCGCAAATGGCTGATTAGAAAAATGTGCTGAATACTTGCACTAATTGCTTAAGTCAACAACAGATGGAGGAGTTGGCATCCGTGGACACAAGGCCACTCCTTTATATATCCAACTTTAGACATGTAAGCATGAAAATTTGAGCTCAAGCTTTGCGTCCCAGCTTTTCAATCAGTAAAATAAGTCTTAAGGAAACCCCATTCTCATATGTTATAGTGAAAATGCTAACCAATTATTCATACATCAGCTGTGTCACAGACAGCCACACATATGAACAACTGCCGAGCATGCCCTTTCAGCAAGTCTGCTCCGCTGGCAGTCCCAGCCCCCTCTTCCCTCTCCGCTTCAGATTTTCCACACCCAGCTGCCAGCACCGGGCTCCTTTTCTGATCAGCAACCACCTTCACTCCCAAACCAGCCCCTTCACACCTACCCAAGATCCCAGCCTCTTTACCCAGCAATCTCAAATTATATTGCTGTTCAGTCTTCTCCCCAAGCATCTCCTGCCTTCCCAACAGCCAAATTTTATGTCTTGTTCCATACCTGGGAACAGGAGGGTTGTGCTGATGAGAAAAAGGTCACCGGGATTTTCAGAGTAAGAAAACAATATATTTTATTTTTTGGAAAGAGAAGAACTACTTGGGGTGACAATTCCCTTCTCTCTCATATACACGTGGGCACACACAAATACACAAAAGTCCTGCAAAAGAAAATAATGTTTTGCCCCAGTGAATTCAAATAATACTAGAGAGATTATATCTGGAAAAGATATTGATAACTGAAACCATTCATCAAGAAAATTTGGGATTGGAAGATGTGGAAGCGGAGCTGGGCCTGCTTAGAAAGCGTTTGGACTATCTGTGAAAGTGAAATGTTAGGTAAGATGAATAGGTGCACTGCCAGTTCTGCCTGTGAGGTAGAGAAACATATGCAAAATCATCATAGAAAAACAGGTAGCTCCAGTGTTTGAATATTAGAAAGTAGCAAATGAATTAATATTTCCCAAGAACATGATTAAAGCTTTAGTGAGAATTTGAAAACAAACACCCAGCAGGAGTACTTAGAAGTGCAAATTGAGGACATACATATCACTAAAATATTCTGAGTATAGCAGCATTTTTTTCATTTAAGTTCTAGTTGCATCAAAACGTATTTAATGGTAATGAAATACTTTAAGTTTTTCTCTTCTTTTTCTTGTGTGTTATAGTACAACAAAACAAATGAGTTTCCTAGTGCTGCATTTGAGGGCTTTGAAGAAACTGGCATTTAGTGCCGACTAATAAAAAAGTAACTACATGTGCAGTACAGATAACAAGGTAAGTATTATGTTGCCTTAATACGTAAGAATCCATTTCTGACCATTTTCCACACTGACCATTTGCCTAATGAAATCAGCCTTCCTTCCCCTTAAAGTACTGCTTTGTACACCATGGTTGGATGAAAATAGCCTTTTCTCTGACTCAAACCACTCTCTCTCATTACCACCATGTTCAAGCACAGTGCAAAGCAAATTCCGTCATACAACCAGCCTGATGCGGAAATAAAAAAAAAAATCCCATATGATTATCTGAGTGAAAGGTTCCTCAACTGAACTTTGTGCAGCAGGCAAAATTGTATTGAACTCCTCATATGCTGAATTCAATGGGGATACTCAGCATGCCGTTTGCTTGCATGCACCCATTTAGGGCACTAAAAACAAGGCTCCAAGACATAAACAGGCTCAGAGGAAGCATTCCAGTACAAATTTTGCTCAAAATCTCACTAATGGTATGTGTGCAATTATTGGGAAATCCCTACACTAGGATGGAGGGGATACATTCCGACCTTCTGGGGCATCTGCAATCTGAAAGTAACAGCATTACAGCAATTTAATAGAGACTAATAAATTTCTTTGATACCAGTGTTGGTATCTGATAGTCCATGTGCAAAATCACACAGCATTTCTCAAGTGTTTTTAGTGGATGTACTGTCTTCTTAAATTTAAAATTAACAAACCTTCCCAGTCAGCTTTGAAAGATCATCTCCTCCCATTATCTGCATATCTTGCATAGACTGATCATTCTGAAAGAAGAAAGAAAAAACCTTGAAATTGGATATAACTGTATAACATAAAAGTATAAAGATGTTAACTTTGGATCTTTCAAAGTCTTGGTTACCAATATTTTCCAATGCTCGTTAGTATTGGTGTATGACAAAACCCTCCTGTCACTTGTTTCTGTGGCTTCTATCATCTCCTGGTTGGATTTCAGCTAACATCAAGCTCCAGGCTTTACCGAACTAGAAAAAGTTGCCTCTTTCTTTTTAAAATAAATAATGTTCCCTAGCTTATTATTTCTTAGTATCACAAGCGTTGAGTAATGTATTTGTCCCTTTCACAACAGGAAGCCAGGAGCATCTCAACACTTGACCAAACACCTGTAAGCACATTATTCGTTTGGAACAGTCTTTAGAAACACAGGCAAAGTGTGCTTACATCTGTCACGCACACACAGAACTCAGCTAATTTTGTAGAAATTCAGTCAGTATTTTTTTCAGGGGAAAAAAGTGTTGCAAAAATGATCACTTGTTATCAAGAACAGTTTCAGTGTGCCATACAGTTTCAAGAGTTTTGGTTTTGATTTTTTGAGTAACTCGAAGATAAAAATCCTTGAGGTCAATTCATTAAAACAAAATACTGTCAATCAGGTCAAACCAAATGCAACAGAACAGTATGCTTTGATTTCCCTATTAGAAAAGGGTTTTTTTGAAAAAAAAATCAATAAAACTTTTTTTTGATATATCTGTTTTACAGGCATTTCTAGTTGAAATTCATTCTGACAGAAAATTCTCAACTAGCTCTAGTTCAATCTCATTATCAGCAGCACACAAAGTTAAGATCACATAAGGGAGACATACGGAAGCCCTACTTTTAAGGGAAGACAAAAGAGGCCTTAAAGAAGGTAGCAAGTTAGAAAATATACAGCCATGGCCAGGCTATATGGACTTTCCAGAGAAAGCAAGAGCAAAACTAAATAAAGTTAATGTGAGTTTTTTGCAAAATTGGTGCACGTGCTAATCTAATCTCCCTACCCAAAGGAAAATAGTGTTAGTACAATTTTAATAATAGCTGCAGTATCACAACGTGACACTGTAGTTTACTAGTAACATCAGGAAACTTTATCATTGCAAACAACTGCTAAAAATGCAGTTGTTGCTTTTATTTCATAATTCCAGTGCTCTGAAGTAAAATATTTTTCCACGAATAAATAATGGAACAGCATGACTTGCAAGGTAGGTGAGGATTTCCTGGACTAAGGGGTTTATAGCTCTTCTTCTTCCCCTCAGAAAGCAGCCCCAGCAGAGGCAGCACGCAGGTGCCTGCCCTGTGGTGCAGTGACAGCCACATCTGCCCACGTTCACAGCCTGGGTGGCACAGGTCCGGGGACTTCCAAGGAACCTTTGCAGCCACTGGATCACAAGCGATCTGGCAACCCCAGGAACTATTTTGTGGTTCCCATGGGAATGGGGATTATCTAAATTAACACAGCCTTCCTGAGTAACCGTAAGTGAAGGTTGCAGAATTGCCCAGATGCAAATTCTCGAGGTTTGCATACTGCAGACCCACCAAAAGGCTCCTCGTTTACTCAGACTCCACTCCCCAAAACCCTCTCATACCACAGCTTTGTAGAAGGTCCTTCGCAGTCATTGCCTTAAAGACAGATTTTAGACCTGACTTCACTTTTTCTGCACCAGATCTAGGAGGTTTAGATCCTTTTCATGCTGCTCTCGTTCGTTTCCTGGGCAACAGAGCTACAACAGGAATGAAGGTTACATCCCGTATGTTTTCTGATAGAAGTTTCAACATTTCTCTTCTTTGTGTAAAGAAAAACAGAAAGAAAAAAACCCAAACCAAGCAACTGATTCCTCAGAAGATTATTTTAAAACTAAATATAAAGTGGAGATGGAGAAGATTTTAAGTTCAGGCTTAAAAGCACAGCCTTTTGTTGTAGAGCAAGACAGGTCACTCTTCAAAACTCTGGGACATATTCAGGTCAAGGCTATTACAAGATTATGAAAAGCAGATCGTTTCTAATATCTATCACGGCATGTGTAACCAAGGCAGTGACAAAATATTTTTTCATTTCCACATGAGGAAGACCGGAATTTCAGTAATAACCAACACACAGGAATTACTACAGGGGCAGTTTGCCCTGAGTTGCTAGTTGAAAAAGAGGGAAAAAAGATAACAGTGAGGTGCAAAGATTAATGAATTTGTTTTTTTTTAACTGAAAAAATAAAATCTCTTTCAGCAGTCTTCACAGCAGCACTGTTTCCTTTGCATTTGGTATTTCTGGCTCCAACTGAAAGGAAGATGCTGAAATAGCATCTCCACTGCTGGCAAGCAGTTAAGCAAACACAAAAGCCATTGAGAACCCGGGAATCTGAGCATCCCATCAACCTGCATATTCACACACTGGCTGTTGTGACACAACTGCACACAATTATGAAAATCCTCCTGTTCTGACTGGAGAAGGTGAGGATTCACTCTGACTAAAAACCATATAGAAAAATGCAGCTCAGAATCCATCAGCCAAGGTGCTTTCAAGAGATTTAAAGAAATTACTTGCATCACACAGTAGAGCAATTCTATTGCAAAAAAAAAATTCAGATCATTTATCTTAATGCCATTTATAACTATCTCTATATTCATCAATTAACTCATATTGTAAAATACATACCTGCCAAACAGCAAGACTCAATACCACAATGTCACATTACCATAATAATGTTCGTATAGATAACGTGCACACTACAGTTGCCATAGGAACGTCTCAAAGCTTTTTTCCAAGTTCTTAGTTTATAATCTCAAAATAACACTGCAGTAAATGTTAAGTATAAAGTACAATAAATGTCAGGAAAAAAAAATCTGTTTCATTCAGTACCAATTACTGTCAGCTCAGAACTGTTTGTTTAATTTTTATGGTCTCAAGTCATTCAGAGCTTCTTTTTTCCCTTGGGAGTTGCTCCATACCTTAATAAAACTGATACAATTGAGTCTCTAGGACTTCTTATAAATGCAGAGACATGAATTAAACGTTCATTTTCCATCTCCCAAAATTCCTCAATACTTGCTTTCTAACATACCTAAACCCTATCAACACAATTTTTGCTGTTCTGTGTTTGACACTAAATATAATGTCCCAGATAGAGACATATCAAAATCACACTACGTTTTACTTAATGCAGCACAAAATATATTGAAGCTGTTTCTAATATGACATGATGCATTTTGTCACATCCCTACACCTCATCCCAAGCTACATTTAATACTGCATTTCTGATTTTTTTTTCTGTGTTTAATCAATCTGCATTTTCCAGAATAAATCTGAGTTTCTTTGTTTTTATTTGCTGTGTTGTATTTTTTTACCTGTTCATCTTTGGTTTATGATTTTATTTCAGTCAGACCTTGTCAATATACATCTTCAGATCCTACGAACACTTGGTGAATGAAAGCAAGAATGTTGCTATTTCCACCTCCGCTTTTCACAGCATGCAAGATAAAACTTTGACTTTCTATGTTGATTGGAAGTATAGATATTTAAATTCCATCTATACTAAGTCATGTCTTTTGAACTGGGTGAGGCACAGAATTATTACATGTCTTTGACATCTCCCGAGATCAACACTTGGACGTAGTTCAAGTTACAAGTGAAATGAGTTGGGTGGTCTCAGGAAAATTTATTATAAACAGCATTGCTCATCTGAAAATTGCACCAAACTATGAACATCTGTTACTCTTCTAAAGAAGCAGAATCTGGAGTACATTAACACTGGGCTCATTGAAACAAAGATTCTTGAATCATGGCAAAAAAGTAGCTCTAACATAAGAGTTTAAATGTATAACTAAACTATGAAATATGCACACCGGGTCATTATCACACATCTTGCTACCATAGTCTGCACAATTCATGTGGAATTTCTTGGAAAAAATGTGATTACCTTTTTCTCCCAAATTCATCAGGAAAACTCTTAACAAAGAAGGATGTGACCATCAAGCCTGTTCTACTTTGCTTTCTGTCACTTGGGTGATACAGGAGATCTGCCAACCTGAGGATTCCCATGAGGACAGCGTGCTCACTCTGCACCACCATCCCATCTCCTACAACTGTGTTTTCCAGGAAGGTTTTGATCAAAAATAAGTCATTTACAGACCATTACTTTCAGTTGTCCCTTGCAACCTCAAGCTGTTGAATACAGAGCATCTCTAAGGCTTCCCTTATCCTTCCCTAATGGCTAAGTGAAACGGATAGACAGAATTACTGCAAGAGCCAAGCACCATTTCACCAACAGGTTTGGTGCGACATGTCTACTAAAGCAGAGTAGAGTTCAGTTTCTACATGCACTTTGGCCTCACCTTTTTATTTTCCATTAAGACTGTCATTAACTGCTTGTGATCTATGCTGCTTCTGTTCTCGCAGTGACCCATGACCTTGAAATGTCTTCATTAAAGATAGGATTACTTGGTTCCTAATTTCGGTATCTGAAAGCTAAGACATCTAAATCCATGCATCCTGGGCTCCCTTCATAGTCAATGGAGAAAACAAGATAGATCACATAAATCATCTATTTCACCATGAGGGAAATCTACAGCAAATAACTTACACTTAGACATCTAACTGTGAGAAATCTGAAGTTAGGTGAGATGAATCCCAGCTTAAGAGACGAGATCAATATTTTCTTCCTAAAAACTTCACTGAGGACTCAGAAGGAAATTATCGGTCGCATTTACCACAGGCACATGAGAAGAAATGATCTTGAGTATTATCCATTAGTAACATCCTGAACTATCCACTCAGGCTCTGTCTCACACAAACATTTAACACAATCCTCCTTGATACCACTCCATGTTAATTTGCTTGCATGTTTACTCCAAGGTTTAATTTTAATCTAGGTGAAATATATTTGAGGACAGCTTTCAAAAGACACAACCAATCTAATATTTCTACCAACTTATGTCACAAAAAAATATTAGCAACCAATCTTTGCAGACTTTTAATGAAAACATTACACTGGATGATTAA